CGTACACGAATTGTAGGGCGGGTGGCATATTCGCGTATCCTGGGGATGTGGTAAACACCACCTTCGTCTTGGACCCAAATCTCGAGACAACATTCTCTTGTACTTCATTCATCGCCGCAAACAACACCTGAATGGCTTCCCATATCTTCCTCGATGGCGGATTTTCATCGCCCTTCAGTTGCTCAAGAAGTCCCACCGCGTGCAGGTGATCATTCATTCCTGCAAACAATAGCAGCTCAGGTTCGCAGGGCATCTCTGACTTTATTGCCACCACCAGAGTTAACATCTGGTTTAATTCAGCTCCTGGCAAAGAGTATATCAGAATCTCCGGCCAGAACAACTTGGGAGACGTTCCTTCGAAGTCCGACCCCGCCACAATGACTACTCTCGCAGCAGCTGGATCTGCTCTATCATAAACTGCCAGGGTTTTGGCCAGCTGGGTGCTGCCACAGGGCTTCCCGTACCTGGGATCTTCCGCCAATTTCGAGCCTTCGTAAGCGGCATCCGGCAATTCCATCGATCCTGGATTGAGTAGCTTGTCCACCACTTTCAACTGTGCCGGGGTCGCCAACCTGATCCTGGCGATGCTCGTTCGGTGCTTGGGAGGTTCTGTTATAAGTCCAGGACTCCCCAGCAGCTTGAGAGGTCGGTAGTTAATGGGTCCCATGATCGCTTTTGTGGGAATTCCAGTCAGGTCTGTGGTCTCCATCAACTTCGTTCTCGAGAAGTGCGCCTCATGAGCTTTCAACCAGTCCACGCAATGATGTCTATTCAAATCCTCGTGCGACACTCGTTCAATCCCCAGGGTTTCCGCCAATTCTCGCCTGCATTCCAAACTCTCTAGGTCCAGTTCTTTCACCTTCTCAGGATATCTCAAGCGAGCGGTCTCCATAGACCTCTTTTCCCGCTTGCTCTCTGCCACTACCACTGAGGACATCGCCGAGCCTGGAGGTGTTGATGACATCACCTCCTCAGATTCCATTGGCGTGGCACTCTGCAATCGGGTCTGGATGCTCCTCGAACCGTCTCTAGCGTCAACTCTCGTTCCCAAGCGACCAGACAAGGCCCTTGAGGCAAGGAATGGTGGGTTCGGAGGTGGTCCTAAGGTAAATTGGGCTGTCTCTAGCAGATCCGACTCTAGCGTGTTTATGTGTTCCTGGAAGACGTCGTTTAGCCACTCTGCTCCCCGTGGTCTATCGAAATGGATTCCATCATTGGAGGTGTCTTCAGGGAATCCCTCTTTCTCCATGCGCTCTGCCACGTCCAACAGTCTGACAGGGATCACACTCTTGCGATGGATATCTCGGATCACCTTGTTTAGGTTCCGCACCTTCTCGTTCATCTCCAAGGCGTGCTGATCAAACATCATGTTGTAGGGGACCGTACATACTGTCAGCAGGATGGGGTCCATCTGGATCCTCAGCTCCTCAAGAAGGCAGCTCATCTTGTCGTACAGCCTCATTATTTTCCTCGCTTCTCCCCTTGACACATCGTTTGTCCCGATCATCAGGGTCACCGTGTATACTTTAGTCATCCCTAGCATGTCCAGGGTTGCCAACATCTGTGGCGTGGCAGCTCCAGCGAAACTCAAGATTCCTGTCTGCCAATGCGACTGGATCCGGGTCAACACCCGCACCAGGCTGTCCCCTATGATTAGGTGAACTGCACCCTCTGGCACACGAGGTGGCGCGAGATACTCCACCCAGGCTGCATCATGGAAGCAGTCCCTCCTGGCTCCCTGTTCCGCACTCCAATCCAGTCGATTGTGCCTGTGGTACCTTCCCTCTGTATTTTTCTTATAACTCGAGATCACGACGCTCCTGACCGGCTGTTCCCTCCAAGTTGGGGGAAGCTCCGGTCTTGCCGATCTTTCACGGTTTTTCTGTTGTAATTTCTCGCCTAGCTCTTTCAGGCGCGATGAGCCGCCACTCACCTGACTGTCGCTCGAGGTCGAGGTTGGGGTATATCCCGGCAGCACCACATCCATTAGTGGACGTACAGGTTGTGTCTCTAGGCCACGCAAGGAAGGCGTCGCGTCATTCGGTATCCAAACTTCCAACCCTTCACTCATGTGTTCTCTGGCCTCGCGGTCAAGGTTGAACCGTCCTCTTGCCCTGGGAGCTTCATCCACCTCCATGCGCGACTCTGGCCTCGAGCTGGTCACCAATCGCTCCTTTGGCCTGGCTCCCTTCTGTGCGTCAAGCTCACGTTGTCGCTGTTCTATTCTCTCCAACTCCGACTTCAGTTGATCACGATTCGCGGCGCTCTCCCGTACCCTTAGTTCCTGCTGATGTTCAACTTTTAGCACCTCAAGTAACCTCAGAGTCTGATCTCGCTCGTTGACTGCCTGGTCTCTCTCCAGCTGAATCTTCTCCCGATCCAGCTTCGCCTGATCCCGATCGAGGTTCGCCTTGTTCCTTTCCTTCTGCGCCTTCTCGAGCTCTTTCTTTAGAACACCCAGATCCGGATATGCCTCGGTCGTCTGTTGCGCTCGCGTCATCGACGGCAACCTACTCGAGCCCTGGCTTGTAGATCTTGCTGTTGGCCTAGTCGGTAGTGGGAACTCCCCTGCGCCATATTCAGTGTTGTTACTCAGGCCAGGACTCCTTGCCAAGTCAAAGCCCCTTACTCCTCCATCCACGTTCCAAGACAACCATCTGGTCTGTTCTTGGTTTGATATACCCTCGGTGGTGTACCCGATCATCAAGACAGCCTCCGTTGCAGACTCCCTGCACTCACCCTGGTCCTCCAACTGGAGGATGGCATTCAGCATCACCGCCATTCTCTCGTCTATTTGGGTGTAGTCCAAGTCCCTCAGGCGTCTGTACAGCTCATCAAGAGTGGGCTTCTTCGGGACAATTTTCCTTCTCCGGTTCCTTCTTCCGTGAACCTGGAACACTCCCCGGACTCTTGACCTAGTCCCAGGTGTTCAGTATCTTCCTTGAACGTCACTTTCTTTTTCCTAACCTTGGTCTGCTCCAGAATGTCTTCGGGGATTTTGTCAACTAGTGACCGCACGACATCTTTGCTGTCAGTGACGCTTCCTCTTGATGAGTCAGTATCGTTCACTGTCTCTTTTCTCCGAAGTATAGTGAATTCCGGTTTCTCTTGACCCTTCTCCTGGATCATGGGCTTATCATCTGATAGTTTCTCGAGCAACCTCATTAAGTCATCATCTATCTGTGCAGTTCCTGCTTCCACCTGGTTAAGATCATAGCCTTTTGCCTTGAGCGTCTCCTTCACGATCTTCGACTTGAGTATAATCTCAATCGGAATCCTCTGGCTCTTCCTCAAGATGGTCTTCTCTGGAGGCTCTTTAGGCAATTCAGGATGATCTTCTATCGGTTTGCCTGACTTGTCCAGCCATCTCGTGAGTGGAAGACTGTCGTACGTTTCCTTGTCCATGAATGAGAAGCCATCTTTGATTTCAGGTCTGTCTGCTTCTCTTTGCTCTTGTCTCTCATAGAACTCCGTCTTCTTACTCAAGCTGTCGGCATTCTGATGTTTATCTCGCGTTCTATGCTCAATTATCATGTTGTATCCGTCCAGGCGAACTATCCACCTCCCAATGTAACTTTGGTCCATTGAGTACGTTTTCAGCCAGCTCAGTGCTCTGTTGTCGACTCGCAACTTGAATGGCTCACTGCCCAGGTATGCCCTGTATTTCTCGACAAAGGTAACCACCGCGAACATCTCAGCTTTCGGTGCTCCGTACTTCATTTCCGTGTCACTCAGGACTTTGCTCCCGTACGCTATTGGTCTCAAGACTGTCTTCCCATTCCATTCTTGTTCTTGGTGGAGAATCCCAGAAATCGCGACTACCGACGCATCCGTGTCCAGCACGTACATCCCTTTCTCAGTCGGCATACCCAGTACTGGTGCCTCACATAGCTCTTTCTTTATCCTCTGGAATGACTCTTCTGCTGCGTTGTTCCACGTGAACTTCTTGCCCTTGTGTCTCATTAATTGTTGCATCGGGTATACCTTGTCTGCATAGCCTTTGATGAACTCTCTATAATAGTTAGCGAAACCCAGGAAGCTCATCAACTGGTGCTCTGTCTTCGGTGATTTCCAGGTCAGGACTGCTTCCACGGCGTCCGTATCAGGTCTGATGCCGTGCTTGTCTACCATCCTGCCCAAGTATTTTATTGAGTCCTTGAGTATCTCGCACTTTGATGGTTTACACTTTAGCCCCGACCTCTTCATGCATGCAAACACTTCGTCTAGTCTCTCAATGTGGTCTTCCAGTGTTGGCGTCGCTATTACCACGTCATCCACGTAGCACATTACCAGGTTGCCATACTTCTTCGTTACGCCTATCAGCGCGTGTGCCATCAACCGCTGAAACGTGGCTGTGGCATTGCAAAGTCCAAACGGCATCCGTTTCCATTGAAACAGACCCAACTCGCAGGCAAACCCTGTCTTGTCCCTGTCCTGCTTCCTTAGTGGTACTTGCCAAAAGGCCGAGCCTAAATCAAGAGTCGTAAAAAATTTTGCATCACCTAACTTCGAGAGGCTCTCATCAATCCTAGGTATGGGATAGGCATCCTTCACCGTGACGGAGTTCAGGTATCGAAAGTCACAACAAAACCTCAACTGGTCGCCTTTCTTTTTGGCCATCACTACTCCACACGCCCACGGTGACTTGGATGGTTCTATCATGTCATACTCTAGTAACGTCTCGATCTCTTTTCTACACGCGTCCGATTTGTGTGGGGTCATGCGCCTCGCCCCCTCCCTGTGTGGTACCGCGTTTTCCTCAAGTTCTATTTCATGCTCAACGAAATTACAACACCCGATATCCGCCTTATGCTTCGAAAAAACTTCCTCGTTCCGCTCTAGTACGTCCTTGATGGCTTCGAGCTGTTCATCTTTCAGTTTGCCCCTCAAATGTTCAATCTCCGGCAGGACCGGTTTTTCATTTTGCATTTCATCTAGTGTGGGTCGCTCTGGAAAGTTCGAACAGCTCGAAAGACCATCATCCGTTTCTGACTTAAGTGATTTAATAAGACCTGAAGAATCTTTTATTTTCTGCAATCGTCTCAAGATACAAATTTTGTCCCTGTGATTAGGACAATCAACAACTTCATTTTGTTTTGAGTTCTCAATTGTTTCATATCGAGTTTTAACCGGTAAAGCATATCCCAGTTTCCTCCCTCTCTGTATCGTGATCGGTATATCAAGGGTATTCAACAAGACACTGACGCAGAGGCCGCTCTTCGTTATCGAAAATGATCTTCCTAAAACAGCAGCACTTTGACTATTAGGATTCGGAACTATGCACACTTGCTTGTTGTCACTTAGTTCATTGTAATTTTTCATCCTCAAACTTACGATTGCCGCTTCATTAGCTTTTAGCCTCACCCTCCTACTCAAGAATACCGGTGCTTTGTTTTCATTTGCCATTATTAAATTTACCGGTTTGATTGCGTACCTCCTATCCGGGTTCCGTATCCTGAACATTGCGTTATTTAGATCAATCGTTACGTCGAAATTCCTGATGAAGTCTCTGCCCAAAATGAATTGGTCAGATTCATCTAGGTTTTCTACCACGATAAAGCTCATCCACAGGTTACGTTCCCCCAAATTGAGGGCTATTATCGGCGTCCTGCCCAGCACCCGAAGGGCCCCTTTGTTTGCAGCCGACAGCCGTATTCTCGAGTCTATCAAGTCACCTTTGTCAAAGCCCATCCTCTCCCAAGTTTCGATTGGTATGACGCTCAAGACTGCTCCCGTGTCAAGCAACCCACGCAACTGAGTCTTTTTGCCACTTATATCCAGCACGTGCCCTGTCACATCTGCCTCCGTCCCGATGTGCATTGCATCTTCTTCAAGCATGGCGCAGTGTCCAATCGATCTCACTTTCAATTCTTCTTTCCCTACGTAGATTTGTCCAATTAGGTCTTCGTCACATGTTATCATCGTCTTGGTATAGATGTTAATCCCATCTATATTTAGCATCACCTCGTGTGGACCATAAGCTTCAGTATATCTGCTATCAACACGTACCGACTTGCTGCCCCCTCTCATGAGTAGTGCTCTCAAGGCTCTAGAAGTCGTTTGTGGGCTTATACAGCTCAAGTAATCTGCGTACACGTCAATGTGCATTATCGTCTGGTCGCTCGGTTCGCTCAAGTTTCTGGTTACCTCGTGGCCGCCCACTGTGATTATCGACATTATTCTAGCCCCAATTTTCGATATGCCGAATGGCTTTCCCGTCACCATTTTTACAGTGTTACAATTCCCCGTTTTTGTTGAGCCCGGTACAGCCTCTGGTGTTTGGTTCGATCCGGTTAATGCTTCGTTGAAATTCTGTCTTTCGATCTCCAGCTTTAGTCGTTGCTCTATTTCTTTCGCAGCCAGATCCTGTTTTACTTTGGCAATTGCTTCCGTCGCCGCTTTCTCATAGTTTATCTCTAGCGAGTTCCCAGCCGCGGACTCTATCGCACCATTAACATGTGTTACAGCTTTCACTGTTTTCGTCGGCAATTCCGTGCTTGGTGCTCCTAAGTTCCTAGATTCAAACTCGTTTTGTCTATTCCGCTGATTCTGCACTGCCGCTAATGCCAACTTATGTTTGGGGTGACTCTGGTCCTTGACCGCTTCCCAGAACAAGGGACAATCCATTCTGAAGTGTCCCTCCTGGTTACAGAAGAAGCATCTTGCGCCTATCTTGATGATTAAGCCACTATAGTACTCGTGTTCCTCCATCTGGCTCATGTCCTCCTCATCTGGTGCATATCCTAGACTCTTCATGCCTTGTTTGTATGTTGTGCAGTCAGCCACGTGGTGATCCGCCGATCCGCAGTTCGCGCATGATCTGCGCTTGTCCATGTCATCTCTAGGCTTGTACCATGACGACCTCTGGGGTTGACTTCCCCCTTGCGTGTTCCTGTTTTCTGTATATGAGTATTTCTTGGGTTTCATCAGCATGTATTCCCTTGATTTCTGTCTCATTTCTTCTGGGGTTGGTGCGCTGTCTTTCGACAATGTGTAGTATGTTGCTAACATTGTCCTTAAGTCGTCACTTTTTACCCCATCAATGAACTTCGAGGCAATGCTAAAGTTTCTTCTGTTTGTCGACTCCTCTGGGTCACTCCTTCTTCTCAAGCTCTCGAGATCATCTAGGAACCGATCTATTGACTCGTCGTCCCTCTGCCTTCTCTTTTCAAATCGCATCATCGCTTGGTGACCCTTCATGCCTGACCCGAATCGATTCAGCAATATCTCGAAGATCTTGTCCGCGGTATCGCGTTCTTCTTCTTTCTTTGCAACCACGCATTTCAATGCCGTGCCTTCCAGGTTACTGAGTATGGCTGTGCATGCTTGCCTTTCATCATTTAAGTTATCTTGTTCTAGATGTAATCTCATCACTTCCACCCACGTGTCAATGCATCCATCTGAGTCGTCTTTGAATTCTTTTGGCTTCTTGAAAGTTTTCCTTGATTTTCCGTCTCTCCTATCGCTCGAGTTAGTGTTCCTCGTGGCGAAAGCCTCTAGAGTCCTGTTCATCATCTCCCAAGTGCTTGCCCACGTCATGGCATCCGGACCTGCGTTGCTGCTAGCTGTTGAGTCCCCCGGACCACTCGTTGTGTTTGAGTTCCCACTTTTCATGATTGTTTTATCAGCCGTTGGTGCTATGCTCACCGTATCCCGGGTTAAGGGCAACGGTGTCGATTGCCGTTTGCCCCTTTGTGGTTCCACCAAGTCAACTCTGGTGCCTTGCGTGCGATCCGCTGCCGGTCTTTCTTGTGAGGTAGAATTTCTCAAGATTGCATCCAATTTCGTCTGTATTGCACCTGAACTTTCGGCCTGATTCTTGCTCATTGTGTCCAGCCTCTTTTCCAGGCTACCTATTTGGCTGTTGACATCATCATATCGGTTTTTCAACTGTTGCAAATCTTTTTTGATGTTCCCTTCTCGTTCTTTATTGGTGGCTTCTACCTTATCTGTCATCTCCTTGAGTCTCTCGTCTGTTGCCTTAGCCAGGTTAAAATAACTATCCAGATACTCGTGTTTGTTGTATCTTAATTCTTTTCTTATCACTTCTCTGTCCTCTTCGCTGTGCTTCAGCTTTTTGTCGATCTGATTCAGTTTTGCCATCAAGTCACCTAGCTCAAGAGTAGCCTCTTCATGGTCAGCCGTTGGTCTTTCTTCGGCCGTTGCTTCTGCTTTAGTTTGTTCCTCTCTCGGATTGGCTTCTGTCGTCTTCGTGCTCACTGTCCCAAATGTTCGTGCTCTTTCAGCTTTTGGTTCTTCAGTCACGTTCTCTTTCGTTTTTATTCCGACCATCATCGCCAACCTTTCTGTAAAAGATGTCTTTTTTACTTGAGAGTCTTCTTTCACCGTTTCTTCGGTGTTGCCTATTGCATCTTCCACATCGTCTATTGGTGAGAACTCTATGGGTTTCGGGTTTGGTTCTTCTGCATTGGGCATTGGAGTTGACTCCGTCGTCTTTTTCTCCAGTTCATCTACGCTCTGGTCTGGTGTCTCTAGGTCGATTTCGATTGTAGGCTCCACCTCTTTTTCCCTCGCATCTTCTCGCGTCTTGCTCTCGGTGCCACTCCTCGTGCTGACCATGCTAACTGAAAAGTTATTTCTTGTTTTGCCTGAGCCCCTTGATGTTGTTCCACGCAGCGACGAGTTATATTTCGTGTTTGATCCACTTGACCTTTTTTCAAGCACCGGTACCCTACTCCGTTTCATTATTCCTATTTACAATTTCCCTTATTTACAATATTATTATATACACAATTCTATTCTAAGAATAAAAAAATTTTTTGTGGAAACAAATTCTTAAAAGAAAATATACAACGTGATAAAAACCTTGTTCCAGTTCTCTAAAATCTTCGAGTAACTTTCTTTATTCGTGGTCCCAACCGTACCGGGTTCCAATTAGTCTTGTTCTGTCTTAATTCTGTCTTAAAACAACTTGTTGTAATTTTACTTCAATTTTTATACTGTCCTAAGACTTCCAGTTACCGTCCCTACTCTTCTTCGTACCGTCCCAGGCTTCCTTTTACTGTCCCAAGACTGTTCGGTAATGTCCCAGTACTCCGTCAGTGTCCCAAGACCCCTGACCCAAGGCTAGTGTCCCAAGACTACTGTCCCAAGGCTAGTGTCCCAAGACTACTGTCCCAAGGCCAGTGTCCCAAGGCTAGTGTCCCAAGACTACTGTCCCAAGGCTAGTGTCCCAAGACTACTGTCCCAAGGCTAGTGTCCCAAGACTACTGTCCCAAGGCTAGTGTCCCAAGGCTAGTGTCCCAAGACTACTGTCCCAAGGCTAGTGTCCCAAGGCTAGTGTCCCAAGACTACTGTCCCAAGGCTAGTGTCCCAAGACTACTGTCCCAAGACTACTATCCCAAGGCTAGTGTCCCAAGACTACTGTCCCAAGACGACTGTCCCAAGACGACTGTCCCAAGACCCTTGTCCCAAGACCCCTGTCCCAAGACCCTTGTCCCAAGACCACTGTCCCAAGACCCTTGTCCCAAGACCACTGTCCCAAGACCACTGTCCCAAGACCCTGTCCCAAGACCACTGTCCCAAGACCACTGTCCCAAGACCCTGTCCCAAGACCACTGTCCCAAGACCCTGTCCCAAGACCACTGTCCCAAGACCACTGTCCCAAGACTGTATCAAGACCACTGTCCCAAGACCACTGTCCCAAGACCCTGTCCCCAGACCACTGTCCCAAGACCACTGTCCCAAGACCCTGTCCCAAGACCACTGTCCCAAGACCACTGTCCCAAGACCACTGTCCCAAGACTGTATCAAGACTGTTCTGGTCCAACACTGTCCCTGGACTTCTTTGGCACTGTCCCAAGGCTGTTTGACAAGTGTCTGAGCGGTAGGACTTCTCTCTTTTTCGTTATGGGGACTTCTTGATTCACTGTGCCTTGTACCACCACTCAAGCTCTAGTAAAATTTCCCCAAAAACCCTTTCTTAAAAGCCAAATGCTGACCCCCCTTTTTTTCTTATTTCTTTTTAGTTACCTCTATTTCAATGTTCC